ATATATATTTAGAAATGAAAAAAATCCTTAAATACAATAGTTGGATTGTTTGTATTACACAGCTGAATTATTGTCCGTGTTAATTACTTAAAAGTTTGAGAAAAACAGATAATGAAACAAATTATTATGCTTACAAATTATCTGCATCTGTAAACACTTCGTCAACTACGTGCATTAAAAATAATGTATTCCTTTTATATATAAATTGTTTAGAACTAAGGGGTTTACATTTAAAATTCAATAATCATATCGTAATTAATTAATATGTGTCTCTTTTTAAGTTTTTTATGCAAGTGCTATTTGACATATAGCACTTTATTTTTCTTGTTTTTTTTTATTTAAAAAAAATTCATGATTACATGATAAGATCAATAGGCTGCATCTTCTTTTTTTTTTTATTTCTTAATGATACTTACAACTGTATTGAAGAAATATATTTAGTAAATTTGAACATATGGATATAATGACGTGAAAACACTTGTTGAAAAACCACCCATTGTTAGTACTCTAATGATATGTCTACATTAGGAGATCACGAGGCCATCTTCTTTTCAGATGCCTCGGAGGGTTATCAGGATTTGAAGAGGAAGAAAAGTTAGCAATGAGAGGGTTAGGATGATTCTAAAGTTTATTATGGAAGGATAGGTATCTGTATTGGGCCAGATCTGAAACATAAGAAACATTAAAGTCATTATGGATGGTTTTATTTGTAACAAAGTAGGGAGCATTGAGGATTTTACGAAGGATTTTGGATTGTAAGGATTGAATACGAGAGGAATTAGGTTTAGTGGAGCCCCATAGCTCAACTCCGTAAGTCCAAATAGGCCTTATTATAGTCATGTATGTAATAATGTATAATATTGATCCGATTTGAATGTTATTGTTTTTTTTATAGATCGATATGTAGTTGACTGTTTTTGTAATTTGTATAATACGGAATTTGTAAGGATTAAAAATTTTCAGTATGTGCAGTCAAAAAGTTTTTTATCATTTTGTTATGAATTTATTGGTCTTTTTACTTCTGTTTATAAAATAAATACGTACTGAGTTATGTTTTATGTAATTAGTTTAACTAATTATTTCAACTTTTCTCAAAACTATTTCCACTACAGTCTAAAAAAAAAAAGATCTTTTTTTCGGACGTTGGTCAGTTACTGTTGTCTACAGAGTTTTATTTTATTTTTTTCCACAAGAGCGGTCAAGACAATTTTCAGGACGGTGTCTCGAGCAAGATATATTGTATCTATAAAAAATACCATGGAGATATGGATATCCATAAAATGACAAAAATTCCTTACTCTATTTTTGAAAAAAAAATATATTTTGCTCATTTGACTAAATATAAGTGTTAATTTTTGTCTTATTATTTCAAAAGTCAGATAAATATCTTCATCTTTATTAGTAGTTTAAAATTACTTTATACATGATGAAAAGTAATTATTTGTGTGGCTTGATGTATTATAAAGAAGAATAAATCTCATGAATGTCATGGTCTATTATTGAATATAGATTTTTAAAACATCCATATCTCTACGAAAAAGTGTGTGTGAAAAAAAAACCTGTTATACCGCGTTTACAAATTCCTCTCGCCATTTGTCCGAAAGTCTAAACAGGCATATATATGTTGAAAGATTCTTTATTTACAGTAAACGAAAACGTTTTGTTTATCAGGCTTTTAATTTTTCAAGATAAATAAAATAATATATGTCGACCAGCTCATTGATACCAATAACGTCATGGATGTCCCAGATGTTATAATATTTCTTCAATTTGAAAAGACGAAAAGAATTTCTATTTTAAATCCTAGGTTTTAGGTGCATTTGGACCTCTAAACTAAATGAAGCAATTTTTAAAACATTTAACTCTCATGAATCTCTCGGTTTTTTTTTTCAAATAAAATATGCTTTGTGATTCCTTGTTTCGTTTTCAAATTAAGACTTAGTAATTCCAATCGGGAAAAAGAAGTTCTTTCATGATTGCTGATAAGTTTCTTGAAAAATTAAAGATCATGGAATGAAAATCGTTGAAATATATTCCTTGTGACTTATCGATAGTCTTTGCACATTTATGGCACAATTCAGATTACGCTAGTTTTTGTTGATCGTGAGCGATATTGTTGATGTCAGCTGTTATGGTAGACTTTGGAAACGACCGTATACTACTTCCTTTCATTACGGGTTGAAGTGACCCAAATGTTAATTTTTACCAATTATAATTATACCTTCAATGCATTTCCGATTTAAAGATTTTCTTTGTTGGAAAGTTTAATTTTTATGTTTAAATTCTAATTAGTAGAATTATTTTCTTCTTTAGTAATTTGCTTTTAAATCCTATGAAAACCATGAAATTATAGACACACCTATTTCTTCACTGATGCAATATGGATAAATAAAACAATGGTGGAACATTAGGAACGTTAGAAATAAGAAGTTTTCTTAGACCATTTTTTAAAAATCATCCCATGAACACCCCTTTCAAGGAATTCTTTTTTCCTCTTCTGAAACAGTACAAGCGAAAACAGAATTAGAAAAATCGTCGATCCTATATAGTTACACTTGAAATCTGGTCCATGTTTCTCTCCTTGATCTCTGGTTTGAAACTTTTCACTTCGGAAATTTATAATTTGTAAAATAATTTAAATTCAGCGTTCAGATTTAAATTTTATTGTGGAAACTGACCTAGTATTATTTTTAAAATCCTTAGATAAATTGTCTGAACCTAATTTTAGATTTCAATCTATGACACACCCTTTTTGAAAATTCAATTTGATATGTTGACAACGTTTGTTAACTAGATATATTATATTATAATAGTAATAATAATGCTTTATTTATTCTGGGTCGAGCCCCTTTAGAATAATGCAGAAAGGCAGAAATGTGGGCTAATGAGCCTCAGAGACACGGGCGGATCTACGGGGGGGGGGGGGCTTTCGGGCTGAAGCCCCCCAAAATGGAAAAATATAACCATGTTTTATGGGAAAAAAAATTAAAAAATACCCCTTAAAGTATTATTGTTCGTGTATTTACGTTTAAAAGTACTTAAGGAATAACTTAAACACCATTTCATATAGGTAGTTAGTTTCTTTCTGTTTTTCCAAAGTAATTATCGTTATTTTTATGAAAAAAAAAGGTTTCGGGCTGAAGCCCTCCCTAAAATTAAATCCTGGATCCGCTAGTGCTCAGAGATACATAAACAAAAATACAGAGTAAATAAATAGTCATTATAAAAAAAATTAAAAGTTACTCTCTTAAACTTAAATCAGTTAATAATAAAAAATTGGAAATAAACATGAAGTAAAAATAATGAAGAACAATCTAATAATTTATATACATATTTACAGTAACAACTATTTACAATTTTATGGGGACTGGATGGATAAGAAATGATTGAGCAGGCGGGATTTTAAGGTAGGAAGGGTATTGGATTGACAGATGTGGGAAGGGATGGAGTTCCATAAGGATGAGGATTGGATAATGTATATGCCAGCAGTTCGGTGGGCCCTTATGTATATATGAGATGACTGGGAACAAGTATTGCGGGAACAAACAGAGGATTTGAATTGAAGAAGCTCAGAGAGAGGTATAAAGGGCGATGGGATTGGATGACTTGAAAGAGGAAGGATAAAGCCACTTTAACTCTGCTTAAAAACGGGAAACAGAGGCGTCCCTAGGGATCCCGAAGATGAATGGTACAAAGCAATTTATCAAATGTTTTAGTTTCACCTTGAGATCCCCAGAGACGCCTCCATATGCCGTACAGCAATAGTCAAATGGGGAAAAATTAAGGACTATATTATTTTATTATACTATATAAATATATTATTTATATAATTTATAAAATATTATATTGTATACAAAAATTATATATGTATATAATGATATATTATTTGGCTACTTTTTTGTCCTATTACGTCAGTTCTAAGTTTTTTTCCTATTCAGAATGCCATTACTATCTATACCAATTAGATGCATTGCCATGTTTTGCCTTTGAGTGTAAAGAAAGAAGAAAAACAATACATTTTTCTTTGTAACAGAGTTTCTTCCCTAACTGTTTGCTAATTGCAATGATGATTTAATTCAAGTATTTTTTTTCTTTTTTAGATAATGTAAAGTTATTTAAAACTTTCAAAAATCAAAAATTAGTCCTCCTAAAAAAAGTCAATAAGTACTTATCAATCATAATTTTATGTAAAAGAAATTATTAAAATATAAAAATTATTTTGCTAACATGTTTTGGATTTTAATATTAATAGTACATGATATTTTATAGCACCAAACTTTTATCTAGGCAGGTTTTTTTTTTTCTTGTGGGGGAGGAAGTGGAAAATATATTGTAATGTAATCTTTAAAAAAGTATTAAAAGAAAAAAATGTAATTTCTTATCAATTGAATGGTTTCCCTACATTAATCAGTTGATATACAATTGATTCCGACTATGAGAAAAAGTATGAATTTGTTTTAGGAAGAATTACGAAGGTTTAGGAAACAAACCATGACTACTCAATTTTTACTTCAAAAGAAGTTTTAAATTCGTTTTTTTTTTTTTTTTTTTTTTTTGTTAATCAATTAATTAGCAAAAACTGCTAAGAATGATATACCATTTATTTACTATTTTCAATTGATTTTTTTTTAAGAACTCTGTTAGCCTTTTTCTATTTATTTCATAAGATTCCACATCTACCCAAGCTGGTCAATATTTTTTCTTTTCGAAACTTTGAACCTAATACATTTCATCTTTTCAAGTATTATAGTAGTAATCATTTCAACATGCACTGTTTTAAAATAAATTGTAATGGTAAAAATTTATTTCAAGATAAATTGTTATTTTAAGCATCATAAAAAATTATCACTGATTTCTTTTTTTTCTTTACGTGATTGTAGACTACTGAATGTACAATATGTCTTATCAGGATGTCCATTTTATTCAAGCACCCATTATTTAATATTTTTTGACGAATAGAAAACATTTCCTTGTATTTATTTTTGATTTCACTGTTACAGATGCAGTTGCTGCAAGAGTCGTTCTCTACTTTTTATCATTCACTGGTTTTTTGGTTAGTTTTATGATGAGGACTGACATTAATTTGGCTATAGTGGCAATGGTCAAAATGCCACCACCAGTCACAAGAAACATAACTTCTTCAGAAGAGCCTCAATACTGTTTTGCTGCTAGTAATATGTCTTCTGACAATTCTACATCAGAATTACTTCTCCAAGTAAGATACCAGCATAAATTAAAACAAGTACTTTAGTGATTGTTGTACACTTTAAAAAAATATGTTTCAAATAAGATCTATTTTAATCAATTTTGTAAAATTTTCCAGGATGAAGGAGAATTTGATTGGGATCCATCTATTCAGTCTACAATTCTTGGATCTTTTTATTGGTGTTATGTTGTGAGTCAGTTAGCAGGAGGAGTTTTAGTTCAAAGATTCGGAACAAAAATAGTTTTTGGATTATCCCAAATGGCAACTGCAATATCATCTCTTCTTATTCCATATGCTGCCGGTTTTCACTTTGGAGCATTAATACTTCTTCGTTCTATCCAAGGTGTAGCATCGGTAAATTTTCTCTTTATACTTTCATTACAAAGTAATATTGAAATTTTAGTTTTTATAATATGTCACTGATTTATGTATATTTTCTATAGTGATATAATTGATTCAATGTCACAAAATATATTTATCGTATAAATCAAGGATTACAGGGAACGAAAATTGGAAATAATGTATTGCATTTTTTTTCCTTTTTTTTAAAGGTTGTTTCTTGCTCTTAATATCTTAAATACGAATAATTGGAAATACCTTTATTTGGAAATAATCATAGTTATTTTTAACTACAACTTTATTTGTAATTAACAATCAATCAATTTTATCTGTGTTATGTTAAAGTACTGATGGTAGAGATTAAGATTCTTTTTTTAATCTATGATTATAAAAGTTTTGGTTTCATGTAAATTTGGCTCGGCTTTATTTGGAATTTTTCAAAATACTCTTATTTTACTAGCCATTTGAAAAAGCACCATTTGGAAGCAACATGACCAGTAGGTTTCAATCAAGACATAGCTTCAGATAGTTGTCTTGTAAAATAGCTACCATCTTGAATTAGCTTTACATTATTACATTTGATTATAATTGTAAACATAACTTTATTGATATTTCCATAAATTAAAAAACAAACAATAGCTTAAAAGTTGTGAATTTGTTTTCTCATTTATCATTCACAAAACAACCAAACTGTCCTAGAAGTTATTATTAAAAATATAAATAATGATGAAACCTGAAATAATATCGTAATAAATCAGAATACAAACTATAAAACAAAATAAAAATTATTGTTACTTTTGAGCTCAAAATATATATGACAATTGAGGTATAAGTCGTATAGGAGCACTATAGCACTATTGTTATATAATTATTTATCATATTTTTCTTAATAGGGATTTACTTGGCCTGCCATGTATGCAATGATTGGTGTTTGGATTCCACCTGCCGAAAGGAGTAGATTTATGTCATCTTTTCAAGGTAATAAAAAATTCTTTTATCACATTGAAGGTTTGTTGATCAAAATATTATTTTTTGGTTTACGACAGTCTATAAAGCTTTAATTTAATTATACTCGGTATTTCAGGGTTTACCATTGGAATTGGATTAAGCTATCCATTGTGTGGTTTTATAATTGCCCATTATGGATGGAGGGTCGTTTTTTATGTTACTGGAAGTCTTGGTTTATCATGGTGCATCTTGTGGTGGTTTTTGGCATTTGACACACCACAAGAACATCCTAGAATAACTAAACAAGAATTAGCTTATATCCAGAAATGCACAAGGAATATAGCTGTTGATAGCAAGGTGAGGAACTTTTGATTTTTATTCTTTATTTTTATCAATGATATAAATTGGCTATTATATTTAATTTTATGTTTTGTTGTTTTTAGTCTGTATCGGTTCCATATTGGTCTATTCTGACTTCCCTCCCAGCATGGGCTATAGGTGTAACAACCTTTGGCAGAATTTGGGTTCATTATACCTTCATGATTCCTGGCCCATTGTATATGAAAACAGTCCTTGGATTTAGTATTCAGAAGGTAATGTATTATACAATTTTTCTTTTATAATTTTTTTTACTTTGTTTTTAAGTACTTCTATTAGTAATATTTCGCATACATATAAAATACTTTATTAATAAGCCCTTCATCATTAAATATGAATTAAATTCATATGTTCCTTGCCTAAGAGCAGCGTGATCTTGTCTCCTATATTACATTTTTATAAATTCATCATTTTTTTTTTACTTAGGGGAGTATAGAAATTGATTTATTATTTATATATGTTTTTATTATTTATTTATATCCAATGTTACGTTTTATATTCAATACAAAATTCAAAATTTTCTTTGGCAAGAAAGCAAGAAGTCTAATAAGGAAGATGTTATTCTTTAATATATCTGACCAATAATTTGTCTACGTTAGAATGTTTTTTGCTTAATTATTTAAAAATTATACAATTATTATATTAATTAATTATAAAACTTTAAAATGTCCCAAATTCACTTACTGATAGTGTTAGTGACTAAAATCAATTTATAGGGACTAGGTTTTATATAATAATTTAAATTTTTATTTCAGAATGGACTTCTGAATGGAGCACCATTTTTATTAAGTTATTTTTCTTCAGTTATTTTTTGCTATATTGCTGACATCCTGGTAACTAGAAATTGGTTCTCCTTAACAGCCGTCCGAAAAATATTTACCGCACTTTGTAATTAGATAACTTATTATTTTTATTTTTCATTTATGCATAGTCTTCCATCATTCTTGATATTTATTTTATTGTCCACAGCTCAAGTTGTTCCAGGCTTTTTGCTGCTGTCGATAGGTTATTTCGGGTGTGAAATAAGCGCTGTGCTGGTTGCATGGTTTGTCGCTGTTATATTTGTGACAGCAGCTTATGCTGGGGCTATGGCAAACATAGTTGATATTGCTCCAAATTTTGCTGGTAAGTTTGTGCAAAAATATATTTCTTTAAGTTGAATTTTAATTTTGGAAATGGAAGGGCAAGATATTTCAGATAGCAATTGCAAGAAGTAGGAAGGAAATGTGGCATTACAGTAGATGCAGAGAGATTTGTGTTTAGTAGCATGTATCATTTTTTTTTAGAGCCTTAAGCTGTCACTGTCAATAAACTTAAATTTCTAAAATTAACTTTACATATATAATATTAGTTTTAAGTTATTTTTTAGTGACCTTATTCTATTCTGTTTAATTCTCCTTACTAAGATTTCATTATTTCTCCATTTTTTCTGTTCATTGTTTTTTTTTTTTTTTTTTTGGAATTATCATATTCAGTTGGTGCTGTAGACCCAATAGCAGCATATCTAATAGTTTTTCAAAATATGTATTAACTACCTGATACTTCTACTCTTATAAAAAAAATTTTAAAGATAGTCTATTTAATAAATATATCAGTTATTCTTGTCTCTATATCTTCACATATGCCATTTCATATTGATAGGCTTTCAAAAATCATAATTGACTTGTGTAAAGAAAATAAGCTTTCATTGCTCTACAACTATATCCTAAAATCTTCCAATTTTTATATTATCTGTCTGATATCTGTACATGTTCTCAATTATCTGAAAAGTTAATTACTTGAACATATTTAAGTCTTAAATTGATTTTTTTCCCTGATATATAGAAGTAATAATTATTTATTATTATTTCATTTTGTCTTGCGGACATTATAATATTAACAGTTATAGGTAATTTTAGATTGTTTTTTATGTTCTTATAAGTTCAGGATATTTTACCATTGACAGTCTCTATTTTATTTTTAAACTTTATTTGTAGAGAAACTTTCAAATAATTAATTAACTGTTAATTTAACCTAATTGGAGTATTTATAATTAAAGAGATGAATATGGTGCACAGACACGAAAGCTTCTCTACAAATTAAGTTTTAAAATAAAATAGAGACCATAAATGGTAAAATATTATGAACTTATATTAACAGTTTTAAATGTGATTCTGGTTAGCATAATTATTCAAAATACCTCTTTAAACTCTGTTCTTTAAAAAGAGAAATTCTTAATCATTTAGTAATACTTTCTATATTTATTAATCACATTATTTATGGATTTTATAAGTTTATAGTGAGGATATGGACCTGGGAGCATAGAATATAGCATATTATGGAAACAATAAAATACTTTATGTGAAGTCTTATCTCTATTATGAACCTATAAAATGATATTTTCTATTTATTAATTCTTATTAAAAAATAAATAATCTCTACCTCTCAAAGTTTAATAATGTATATTAAGTATAAATTATTCTCATTTAACATTGAATAATACCTGATTTGTCACTATTCTAAAATTTATTCACTTGATTAAAAAAATATGGTGTGGTGCGCATCACACAACTTTCACTTATCACACTCTTCTTATATAAGTATTGACCCTCTTCTTAAGATAAGTATTTTAAGACAAATGAAAATGAAAGTAAAAGTTATAGAAGGCAAGCAACATTATTTTAAACAAGTAATTACCATATGTTTTTCATAGCCTTCTAATGTATTATATTCTATTTGTTTGATACTGGTCATGTCCTTTTCCGACTGTATTTTCAATTATTTATTTGATTATAATAAATTAAGTGTCACGAAATATTTTTAGTCCAACAAGAGTGCCACTGCTAAAGAAACCAGCTATATTTATTTATATTTTTATTTAAGTATCGGTATATATACACATTTTAATTTTTATATCGCTTTAATATATACAATTAAATATTAAATAATACCAATGATAGCATTTATGAAAACCGCATATGTATATATATACATAATATTGTCATGAGTCCGTATTATTAAGCTTTTTACATATGAAAGTCATACAAACAGACTTTCCTTTGGTTTCTCCATTACAACTATTCTCCATTACGATCTCTACTTTCTCCTTTAGTTAATTATCAAATTCTTTCCTATTTTATATTTAACTATTTTTTACATAATAGATTAATTTGAAATGGTTAATTATTTTAAATTAAAAAAATTAAAGGTACTTTAGAGAAAGGCATTTTAAAGCAATTGGCATTTAAGCTCTCTCAGGTTGTATCGATGAGGATAAAACCTACCTTAAATTGAAAATCTCTTAATAATACACTGACCTATAGAGTTCAATCAAAATCACTAGAGCCATTTTCGAGAAAATAATAAAAATGTGTAAAAGCATCGATTATATAAAGTGCCACTTCCAGTTAGCCGATTTTGATGAAAATGTTGCTGTAACATTTCAGGTATATAAAAACCTTAAATATGCAACTTCACTTTGATACAAATTTTGTTTTTCAGCTAGATTGGTCAAATACACACACAGACCATTTTGCAGGACTTGGTTATTTGGACTCAGGAGACCTCAAAAAATGTATTTCCGTTAAAAACTCACATTCGAAAATTATCACGTTTGCAATACTGTCCCTTACTATATATTTCATATATAGCTAAGTGAAAGCAATAATAACTTACTTCCGTGGCTCTAAAGCCCTTGTAGGACCTTGGCTTCCTCAACAATATCTCTCCAACCTTCTTGCGGCCCAGTTCGATTGTCTGCAGGTCGTCCTCCACATCAGGGATCTCCAAACCTGTTTGCCCGGGGGCCACATTGAGGCCTACTCCCAGTCCTGCGGGCCGCATTGATATCTCCATCTAAGTCCTGCGGGCCATGGCTTGTGATGAAAAAATAATCTTGTTCTATAAATGACACATCAGTTGTGAAATAAGCTTCCTAGAGAAAAAATAAATGGAATAAATGTGGCAGTAATCTCTTGTGCGAGTAATTTGCTACATATTTTATTAAAAATTTTACCATATAATCAAAGAAACTTTCTCGGGCAGGTTTGATGGAACTGGAAGGCCGTAGTTTGGAGACCAATGCTCCATATCATCGATCCATTTCAGTCTTTCTCTCCTTTTTTTTGCCTCCTTGTTTGCCATATAATAGTTTTTTCGGGTATCTATCTTCTTATATCCTTTCTGCATGCCCAAGCCATCTTGTACGGCTCGATTTAACATAAATGTTTATATCTTGTTTATTATACAGTTCCTGAAGTTCTCTATTATTTCTTATTTTCCATTGGCCACATATATAAACTGGACCAAAGATCTGTCAAAGGACCTTCCTTTTCAAGATGTGGAGGACCTTGCATTCCTTAGTTAGGACCCAAGTTTCATCCTCATAAGTGACAATTGGACTCAAGATCATTTTCTAAATAAGTAGCTTTGCCTTCCATGACAGGTTCCGAAAATGCACTTTTTTCTGTAATACAAAAAGAAATCTGTTGTCTGCTGCGATTTTTGCTTTTATTTCCCCTGTCATTTTTTCCTGTCACTAAAGCTGCTAGGTATTTGAAACAGCCAGCTTCCTTAAAACAGTAGTGGAGCCTTTGCCTGCTATCCTGTCCTTTTTGTATGCTTTCTCTCACTTTTTGAGAATATGAGATATTAGGTTTTTTCCTTATTCATATTAAGACCCAATTTTGCCAAAGCATCTTCAAATACCTCTAAAGCTTCTGAGGGTGCAGCTTTTCTTAGGGATCTTGATGATATTACCGTGTTATCAGCACACCCCAAATGCTGAGTGAGTCTATTGTATATTGTTTCTCATGTATTGGTCTTAGTTGCTCTGGCCTATTGTTCCAATATAATATTGAATAACACAAGGGAGAGAGGATCTTTGGCATTAATCATTCTCTACCTCAAAGTCGTCTAGCAATGTATTTTGTATCTTCACCCTGCTTCTGGTGTTTTCAATAGTGATGGCAATTAATCCTACTAGTTATTCCGTAACTCGAAGATTCTTTCATAACTTTAATCAGTTCATTCCTATTGAAACTATCATATGCATGGTGGAATTGATGAAGAGGTGATGAAGATCAATATTGTATTTATATGCCTTCTACAGCATTTGTCGAATGAAGAAGATATAATCATTTAGATTGTATGGAGAAGATATTGAGCTTCTTCCTAGTCGAAAGCCACTTTGGTGCTTGTCAATATTTCTTTCGGCCCATGTCATAATTCTTCTGCTTATTGCAACCAAGAGAACCTTGTAAACAGTGACAGTAGGGTGGTACCTCGATAGTTTTGGCAAGTCAACTTATTATAGGCACAAAACTGTCTCATTCCAATCCTGTGGAAATATAAGGTTGTATATTTCCTCCACCCCTGTCTTATTTCAGAACCCCATTTGGAACACTGTCTATTCCAGGAGTTCTGTTATTATGGAGTGCTCTAATTATCTCATCTATCTCCTCCTTGTCTGATGTTATTTCTTCTTACTTCAAATCTACTGAGTCTCTTAAAAGATCATAAAAATACTGCTATACACTAAAGTATAGATACTGGGGCAGTTTTATTTATTCGTTGATAATGCTGTGTTCAGGTTGGTAGCTCTGTGAAGAACTGCTTCCATCTTTCCAGGACAGATCTTTATTTCCTACTTGATTTCCCTCTCGATCTTTAATGAATTTCAGTTTTGGTATATAGCTATTCTGAAATTCTCTTATCCTTTTATAAAACTTGTCTGTTTAGCCTACAGTTATCTTCCTAAAGTTTGTTTAATTTTTAGTATCATACAGCCTTTTACTTTGCTTGCATGTTGTCATTGCTTCCTTTCTTTTGACATTATAGTCTTTGGCTATTTTTCAAGTTCTCCATTCGATCATTTTCTGCCTGCCATAATTTCTTTCATTGATGACCTTTATACAGTCATTATCAAACCAATCATTTCGTTTCCCTTCTTTTTTGGTGTGATGCCATGAATATCCTCTACCTCTCCTTTGAGAGCATCTTTACGATGAGTCCATTTTCTGTTGAAATTGTTGAACTCTGAGTACTGAGTACCAAGTATTGTACTCAAATACTTACCTATTTTGAGTACAAAAGAATATAATTACTATTCCAGTTGATGTCAAATGATTAATTGAAGCAGTCATTGAATTACCCATAGTGATTCAATTTGAGTAAAATACTTGGTACTCGGTACACAGAGTAGCATTTGCCCATCTCTGGCTACAGCTTCCTCTATAAGTATTTCAACATTGTGAGTGGTAGTGCTTCCCTTTTTCTCTAGAACTGTTCAAAAATCAATCAAAAATATCACTGGGCTGTCTGGCATCAATGATCATATGGACGATTTGATTTTTGTTGAGATAATCTGGCGAGGACCATGTTTCCTTATGTATATTTTTATTGAGAGAAAAGGTGCTTGTTATTCTAAGGTTCTTTGCAAAATCAACCATTCTCGCTTCCTTCCTCATGTTAGTTGTGATTGCCTATTATTGAAACAATATATTTTCCCGTATATTGTTTTGATTGTGGTTGATTCAGATCCATCATATCTTAATCTCGAATCATCCGAAACTTTTTTTTATATTCAAGTATGTGAATGTAGACCGGTTCCTACCAACAAAAAGTCTTTATTCTCAGTAAACTCATACAAAATTACTCTCAACAAAAATTTATAATTTTAATTATATATTTTTAACTTTAAAAAATACAGAAAAATAACAAAGTTAAAATTTCTGATTACATATAAAATAAATTAAATTAAAACTTTAATTTAAGTATAAAGTAATTAATAATAATCAATAATTAAAATATATGTTCATAAAAAGAAATGGATAGTGATGAAAAATGCATAAATGTTATGGATTATATGAGTGGGAAAATTGTTCATATGTTATTAATTGTTTTAAATGAATCTGTAATCATCTATATGTTTTACTTTCGTTTCTTTTTAAATGAAAATAAATATTTCTACTCAAAATAGAATGGTAAGTGAAAGTTTTGTGATGTGCAGACAGCACCAGAATTTTTATTTATTTATCAGAGAATATCTTACCTGCATTATCTCTACTAGCCATTTCTCATTATCCTAAATATCACTGGATATATGTTTCTAATGTCTAAAGAAAAATAAATGCATATATATTCTATTATACATATGTACCTACGTATCTTCTGGTTGTGAAGTTATAAGGCAAGAAATCTTAAGATTTATAGAAGTATTAATACAACTTTAAAGTTTTAATCTAGTTAATGATTAATTATATATACATAATTTTCAGGTCCTGTATTGGCGTTTGCTCAAACTATTCATATGTCTGCTAGCTTCATTGCTCCTTTAGTAGCAGGTTTCATTTTAAAAAATGATGTATGTGAATTTCTTTGTCAGAAGTACTTTTTCATATTCAAAATTTAGCATTATCTATTCATTTTTTTTTTCAATTCATGTTACAGACTACTTTGGAACAGTGGAGAAAAGTGTTTGGAATTTCATCTGTAGTGGCCGTGGGTACTTACGTTATGTATCAAGTGTTTGGTACTTCTGAAGTTCAATCTTGGAACTATTCCAGAAACATTACATCCCAGGAAACTGAGCATGAGCCTTTGAAAAGGGATAAATCGTCTCCAGGCACTGATGTGACCGATGTTTAGCTTTCTGAAAGTTTCTTTATTAATGCTGACTAGTGCGGACCATTCATCATGTTAGACCAAATATCTGTGTATATATCCATTCAGTATTATATAAAAAACTTTTTTTTTTTTAATCAGACCTTGAATTGAGTAAACAAAATAATTGAAAAAAGGCCATGTTTATTTAAGTTTCTGTTTGATTAGAAGTTAATATTACTGTGGTTTAATATTATAACAACGGAAATCATTCCATTAATGTTTTTATCATTTCTTTCTTTTATACTTACTAACATTGTATATTATTGTAGTTTTATTAGAATAATTTATTTTTATCATTAAATATCAACTGTCCATGACATTTGTTTTATTCTGTTTCTTTTTATGTATTTATAAAGAATATTGTATTTTTTAGTTTCCTATTTAAATTTAGATTTTGGTAAGTATTATTATATTATATTTTTTACATTAATGGCCACAATGTAGAACTTTAGATTGCATTTTTAAAAATTTACTATCACAAGTTATTCACTCATGGCATAAGTTATATTTATTCTGCTTTAAAATGAACATTGCTGATATAGGGCATCGTTGACTATTTTTTACTACTTAAAAGTAGCATTTTTATTGATGAAACTAGTCGGGTATACTTGTTAGTTTCAGATTATGTTAATTCAACTTCATTATTCTAAATGACTTCATGTCAGATGAGGGAGAAATAATAATTTAACTTCTGTCTTAGTTTTTCTTTTTTTAATTTTTTATGCTTTTAAAATTTTGTTATTTATGTATCAAAAAAGTACCTCTATAATGTATCAAGACAATATAAATTTCATACTAGAATTGAAGGTGATGTTTTATCCTTGTTGAATATCCTAAAATAATTTAGACAATATGGTAGTCAAAGAAAAATGTAATAAAAATGATATTTTTTCACTTTTTATAATTTGATTTAAACCTAAGCCCATTTATTACTTTCAATATAAAATGTCAAACATCTTCTCTCAAATATGATATATCTTTATTCGGAAATCACTATTTAATATAACTTTGTTATATTAAGTATGATTTTTTTCTTACCTTGTGAGTATATTTTATGAAATAGTTTACTATTTATTAAAATTTTAATGAAATTTTATGAATATTATTAATAATTGAGCAAAATAAAAATGTGTACGATTGACTTTATCTCCCTCTTTAGCAGTTTTTGTTTGTGGGGAAAAGAGAAATGGACTTATTATTTAGGTTTTTCCAAAGTTGAAAAACCATGCATCCTATAAATTTTAAATTTATCATACTCTTACTAATTAAAGTAGCAGAGTGCTTTGTAATAAAATTGTATTTTATTAAGAAGGTTTATAATATTCACAACTTTATTTTAAAAATAAATTGGAATTATGTGAACTAAAATTCTTCTATTCGAAACTAATTGATTGTGCAAATATGACCTAAACAGTATTTTATAGTACACATAGGTATAATTATAGGACACACTAAAAACTTCTAAGTATTTTAATGAAACAAAAGTCTTTTTGGAACTAAATTATCGAGTGTTATTTTTTCATGTTAATTGAAATATAAATAATTTTTTTAAAACAATTTTTCATCGTTACGACACATAAGAAACAAATATATAGTCTCGTCCAGTATTGTTTCTTTAATTTTTTTTCTAGTTCCTTTTAGCCTTGATCTATTTACATCAGCCATTATTATGGTTATTTCCTTCTATAGAATCTTATAAATACACCAGCTAAACAGAAAATAACTGCTATCAAGTAAAAAACATAACTTAAATATAGATGCTTTATTTATTTTTTTATTATAGTTACACATAATAATAATAATAACATTATAAATAATATTTTATGCTTATAATAATTTGTTATTAATTTATTTTCATTGTGATGTTCTTATAACTGTATAGAAAACTTCCCTCAATTGAGCAAGCAAATGTTTTATTTTTAGTCATCAAAAGATCTTTTAATTTTATTATTATCTCTATTTTTTCTTCTCTCATTCATATAAAACCAAGTATTCTATTTTCTATTTTTTCTTGGACTTATAAAAATTGGTTTGTTATTTCAGTAATGTTCTACGAGAAATTTTAAAAGAGTCTAATTCTAACTAAGGTTTATACTGAAGACAAATTAACATAGTTTTGAAAAGTCGTCTAACAAAATCTTTTGATTCTGTATTAATGATTTTCCCTATAAATGGGTAATTAGGCGGATTTTAAGTTCACCTATATTTCTTTCTTTTTTATTTGCATTGATTTAATTTACTGATTCCCATTTAACCCTTTGTTTATTTGATGGATCCAGAGTACACAGACATAGTACTAAATGCTAAGTATATAATGCATGCTGTGACTTTTTTTCTAAAGGCCAATGTTATAAAAAATCAGTATTTAATTAATTTAAAAAAAAAAATGGTGCTTTGATATTTCTCTAATGGAGAACATTTGTTGCTATAAAAATTGAACAAATCAAGTTAGGGAATTATATAAAACGAAGCCAGGATTGAGAATTTCCAATTTTCGAAAACTTCTGGCCGACATTTATCATAAATATATTGTTCAGTTAAACATAATATTTGTCCTACTCCTTAATCACCATGACATATTTTTGCATAAAATTATTGATAAATATATTTTATTGGTTTGTGTAACTTTATTGGTAGTATTTGAATAAATAATCTTAATTTTTGAGTTTATGCTGTTGTGATTTAGCTGCAATTTTATTATTAAGTTATTGAAAAAATAGCTTACTTCGTAATTAGTACAGACATGAATTTATACTTATAAAATTATTTATAAGCACATCCTTTTTTTGTTTGCATTTAAATATTATTTAATGCACTCTATTTTGTCTATTTTGAATAATATCTTTAAATACTATATGAAATCAATATTGTTTTATATTATTAATATTATTGCTTTGAAATGTAATGTTGGAAAATATTTATTGTTTTACAAGTCTTAGCAAATTTATTCAATATTACGGATTACTTGCACTTAATTAATTGTATTATTTGATGTATCTAGAAATAATATCAAACAAAAATTATGTTTTTTAAAAAATTGTCTAAATATCGTAACCATTAATATTTCAGGAACCGGTTGGTAAATACCAATAACATGTTATTGTGTTATAATCTATAAATAATAGTTTATAACATCAACTATCAATATTTTATCATGCTGATAAAAAAATAAACCAACCAATATTGGTATTTTTGTTACATAGTGGAATCTGCTTCATTTTATTATTAATTATCTCTTGAACTAAGGAAACTGTAAAGATACACTTATGATTGTTGTTTTCAGGATGAAGTTCATTTCTCTAGTCAACATAATGTTGAAGGCGAATAGTTCACAAAATTAAAATCAAATATTTTTTTTCGTGTGTGTGTTTTCAGGAATGGTTGTTTTTTTATTTTTAGAAATGAGGGAAGGGAGAAATGGGAAATTTTCTGACACTGCACAATTTGCATTCTACTGATTATGCACCTGTCATTGAATTCATTATTGTTTTGAAGGAGACAAATATTTATCTAGAATAGGTTACAATAAAGTATGCATAGAATTTGAACTTTAATATAAATTGTTAAGTCCTTAAAAATTAAATTTCTCCAACACTTGATTCTAATTTTCTTTGTGCATTGTTATTTTCTCTTTAATAACTCATTTGTTGTAAAAAAAAAAAAAAGTTAATTAGTTTACATAAACCATTTACTTATGGTTTATTATTTGTAATAACAATAGTGCACAAAATTCAAACCATATTTGACTGTTTAATGAACCAAGTGACCCCTTCAGTGCCAGGCATTTTAACTTGTGAGAGTAAATTTTGAAATTCATTTGTATTTTCATCTTTCGTCAAAGAAAAACCAATATTTTCATAGATTCCAATATAAAGTTGGTTTTTAATTGTCTATTATTGTGGCAAATGTTAACAATAATTACGATATATGTTATATTTACTCAGATCTAATAATCCAAAATGAATGTTGTGAGGAATTGCATATGGCTGACCACCTAATTTCTCTTTCCACACACCGGATTTGATTCGGTATGCCTCATATCTTTCAAAAGATGTCAATAAAAAATTTATATGTATTTGATGTTTCCGGTACATTTATAGAATTTAATCAACTCCGTCAATTGGTCATCTATGTTATCAAGATTGTAATACATTCCTATCATGTCTGGTTTGTGTTGGTTAATTACACACAAGCTGAAATTCTCTAACTGTGGGTTAATCAAAAGTTTTTATATGTAGTGGTTAACTCGACGTATGTATTTTATAAGAAAAATGAGTATTCCCTGAGAGTACAAGTATATATTACACATTGTTATTCAATTTTCTAAAAAAATGAGCGATCAAAAATACCAATTTATGTAGAGAAATGCTAATATCAGTTGTTAAAAGGCACTGAAAGGGTAATTAATTGCAACTGAAAGAAAGAAAAAAAAGGGTTATATTTATTTTGCTTAATAACCCAAGATAAGCCCATCAGAGTCTTAATGTTGAATATGTTTTAATTTAGTAATTTTTTTTTATATGTATATTAAAGTAATAAGTTTGATATTATTATGGATTAAATTAGAAATATTTTTTATGTAATTACTATGTTTTTGTAGGTTTTTAGTCTTCAGTTTAGTGATGACACAGTTCAAATTTATTATTTGTATTATTATTTGATTGTATTATAAATGGAGCTTTAACGCTGTCAAACACAATATGTCTATATTGTTAGATTAGCCAGAGTTTTATTTTTATATAATTTTTACAATTAGAAAAACATTTTACAATATAGTCAGCCTTATATATATTGTGATTAACAAAATTTATTAAAGTTAATTAAGAAATTTTAAACTCAGTTACTTCTAGGAATAGAAAATACTTACTCTATTAAGAATATTTTAAACAAAAAAAAAATTAATAGCAACAAAAATCAAATATTGCTAAGTGTGATATTTATTTTATTCATTAAAAAAAAAGTATCATAGAGTTATCCTTTTTGTAAAGTTAAGTGCCTATTTTTTCATTATATCAAAGTCATATTAGACTTAAAATAAAATAGTATGAGATGCATAGAGGCTGTGTTTAGAGTATTTAACCTTGTACTATTGAGAGTTAAGTAATATTTAAATGATCTGTGTGAGTATTGTTTAGGTAATGGTCATTGTCATTTATGTATATCGACAATTTTTAGGGTAATAAGATTAATAACACAGCATCAGATGGTGTATGAGAGACCTTTTGTGTTTTTATGTTGAAAATTATTTAAGCATATCTAGGGCTTGTCAACCTGAATCCTGCCCTTAACTTGTAAGAGTTTTAAACTTACAGCTGTAAATTTCATCAAACAATTTTCTTATTCACTATTGGATGAAAGTTGAACAAACAAAATCTAACTACATCACTTCTGGTGATATTCTCGAAGTTTATAGATATATAAAAACGACTTTTTAAACTATAAGGATATCAGGATAGAAACATTCCCTATTGTTAATAGCATTGCATCAGTAGGGTAATTGGCATTAAGGTTGATGACCCCTAATCTAAGCTTTAATTCTTTATGTACAATAAATTGTTAATTATTGAGAGTTGAGAAGTGTAAATGAATCAGTTATTCTGCATTGTTTTTTATTTATCAAAAGCATTACCATTTTCGAATTTACTCTAGAAAAATTCAAAATATTTAAATAGATTATGTTGTGGAGTTTATGTAAAACACTAATTATATACGACATAATTGATTTTTTAAACATACTTAGGTTACTGTTTTTTTTTTTTTAATCAAATTTTCCCTAACAATTAGCATTTTAATATACTGCTTGTATTATAGATTATGTACTTCTATATTTCAATATACATTATGTTATGCTGATACTTATCAAAAACTAGACATCAATTAAATTGCAAATGAACTATAGTTGAAGTTTATTTAAATTTAACCATGTTTTTTATTTACATAGATCCTATAAATGTTACAATATAATATATAAAATATTGAATTTACTATTA